TGGGATCTGACTGTTTAGCGGGTGCCTGTGTGACTGTTTACCGACCGTGACTTTTCTGAAACTGACCGACTTGGCCTCCCTTGGCCTAGGACCTCGACCCTGAAATTCAAATTTGGGGTCCGCATCGTGGAATGCCTTTCATTTTGCACTTTTTTAAAGTTTTTTTCCATGGGATCTTAGATATTTGTTCTGAGTCAATGAGCCAATGAGGTTACTCCATTTGCCCTCCTTGATTACCAAGGGTCCGGACCCTTGGTAATCAAGGAGGGCAAGGAGGGCAAATGGAGTACGCTCATTGGCTCATGGACTCAGAACAAATATCTAAGATGATCGTAAGATCCCATGGAAAAAGTGCAAATTGCAAAACGATGAGGCCAATGAAATGCAGAAGCATGCTCTGGCGGTAAATCAATGGCTGTATGTTAGAAGAAGGAAGAAGAACGATCCGAGCAAGCAGCTCCGATATCTGAGCCTGGCATGTTCAGACCAGGAACAGGAAGACATGATACAGAGCCTGAAACTTCTGAAAATGATTTCCAGGTGGCACCGATAACAGGAAAGCACAACTAAGGCCAAGGAATTCATTTTCAGAATGACGAGGAAAAAGTCACCTGAAAACACACACAGAGAGATCTGCAGAATTTTCAGTTGCAAAACTTTGCAAAGAGCTCTCCTTTATGCCTCTCTCTCTCTCTCTCTCTCTCTCTCTCTCTCTCTCTCTCTCTCTCTCTCTCTCTCTCTCTCTCTCTCTCTCTCTCTCTCTCTCCCTTTATGGGTAAACCAACTAGCTATTCAAAGGACAACATACCACTACCATGCTTCTGCCATCTCCAAGTGCTATAGCCACACTCCCGGATGAAGTCCATGTCCAACAGGTAACTCCATGGGCCCCTTCTAGATGCAGCGCCAACCAATGAAGTGGGTCCACGATAACCAAAGGTAAGTCTCTCTTGTCGGTTCCCTCCTCCTCCCTCGTGCTCTACCTCTACTACCCTCCGACCCACTTGTTTGCAGGCAAGCCCATAGCTGCTGGTTAAGTACCGCTTTCTCTGCTGGAGACGCTAACTATTACTGGCATGTGCAATGTGCATTCCCGGACTGTGAAATGGACTACTTTCTTGAGGTTCTTCTCTCTGCCCTTCTTCTACTACTACTGATCATCCATTGCCATGGAGGTCTTCTTCCTTGCCACACTCAGCTTCTCCTTCCTCACCAAAGTGCTCCGCCTCACACTTCCTCAGGGCGGAGCAGCAGCATGACTGCTGCTGAGTGAAATGCCCCGGACTACATAGTCGTTGCCACTAAATGATGTACTCTTGCTCCTCGGCATCCATACCTTCTCACACACCGACTTCCTCCATGGATTGCTGCTATTCCAGGTCCATACCAGTTCCTGGTTCACTTGCGCACGAACATCATTGGAGTGAGTAATACTCCTGCATGTGTGAATCTAACCTGATATCTACCTTCGGTGCAGGGTTAAAAAAAACACAAAAACAAGCGGTACCACCGAACCAGTTACCCAAAATACCATGGGCATTGATCAACACAATACGTCTGGGTAGAGTTAGAAGTATGCAGTGGTTAGTAGCCCATGTGGCCCTTCCAAGGAGCGCATGGTTAAATGAGAGGAGAAGTCAGGCCCAGAGGGACCCGGCCAATTCACTGTGCACAGTATGCCAAGCAGGGACCCAGGAGACAATGTTACACTGCCTTTTGGAATTGCGCAGAGGCGTGTTGTATTGGGGAGGAAGTTAAGACTATCTGGAGCCACTTCTCACAGGCGCCTTTTCCAACACGGACGACCACCTTACTGCTGGGGATCGACGATCGACCTCCCAAGCCAATGGCAACTATTTGAGAAGCACATGTTCCAACTGATCAGCAGACAATACAGCCTCTAGACTATTTGGAAACGAAGATGCCAAATCACCACCGAAAAGCGGTTAATGCATAAGCAGGAGGCAAAGGAGATTCTCGTCATAATCGAAACTGACCTGCGAGCACAATGGAAGAGGGTGAGGCGACAAAGCCAGCAACATCCAGAACAGGCGAATGAGTACAGGACTCGTTTCGTCCAGAACGTGCTGGGGCAAGAGGCGGTAGCTAATATTCAGGGTGAGAAGCTGGTTTTTAAATGGAGAATGGTAAAAAAAAAGATAGTGAGGGGAGAAGATGAGGTGACGGAGGTAAAGGGAAAGGGGAACAACAGCAGTAGAGGGTAGGGCTAAAGCCTAAAAGTAATTTAAAAAAAAAAAAAAAAAAA